TTATAGGAATACAAGCTTCATTGATGATCTTTCTCTTTTTTGTCAGGAATATAGTTTTTGTTGCCTCATACCGAGTTCTACGGCACCCTTGCGAGAGGGAAAGTAGGAACTGGCATTGAGATTGTGGTGCCACCTTACATCGTGTCTGAAAGCTTGTGTGGTGGTAGCGGTGAAAGCTAGCATCGCGCCTGACGTCAATTCTCACCTCTACTACAATACAAGCTCTTTATTATTTTTGCGATGGCTCAGATAATGTATCATCACCAAAAACAAGCATCCAGCAAAGAGAACCCCACTAGTGCTAACAAAGAACATGGGCTCATATTTATGCAAGGGTCACTGTTTCTAATGCATATGTTGGACGGATTGCCGAAAGTATGCAAAGGCGCTTTTGCAATGCGTGTCACTTCTCCTTTATGTTCCGCTAAGAGCATTCATCACCGTGCAATCCTGGTATGTACTTTTGCTCATGGCCCCGCGCTTCAGTGCTAGAAGTTCATCTTCGCGCCAGTCGCCTCGGAAACGGCTATTGTGATGCACGTAGCGTGACGCGTAACGTTACAGAGGCGCCAGTCGTATTTACGGAATGCAGGTTAAAATCAGAACGACAGATTTTTCAGCGCCTCTGCGAAAAAAGAAAATCAATCAGCTAATTTAATTTTCTTCGGTGGGGAGACTTCATTACATTCGTTCAAGGCGCTTATCACCTTGTGAGTGTAAGTTTATGCAGTTGGTGGCACGGTAATGCAAATTAGGCCACCTTTTGCAAAAGTGAATAGCCTAAACACAAAAGTAAGAGTATTTTGAAAAATGCTTACTTGGGGATCTCCCTTTGTTCGCTGCTTTTTTTTTTAATCTAAAAATTTTTACGTCGACTTAGACCTTTCTGTTGGCTATTTATTGTTAACTAAATAAATCTGATACAAAATGAATATTGATAAAATCTTTTGTCGGAATGCTGTGTATTGTCACTGCATACATCATACAGTCTACACTCACAAGGAACGACCAGATTGTAATAAGGCGGGCCAGCGACAAAAGTACTCCAATCTTAATTGAATAAAGTTTCAGGTGCCATGTGATAGTGTATTCATACATGTGTACTCTCCGCCGGCCATATCTCGACTGTAACTGATCGCACAGCAGTGACCAGGTGTCCCCTAACAGGTCATCCATCTGTATGCATTCCGCTTCAGTGTTGCGATACCGCCACCTCGCTTTGTCAAATGGAATGCTACACAGTCCTGTCTATCTGCCTTCAGACTTTCTAATTAACGCAGAGCTATGAAGGTGGTGCCACACTTCTTCGAAGAAACGAACATTTGTGACCACTACTGAGTGCACTGTAGTTAAAGGTGAGCGTGGCGACTACGTGTTTGTTCTAACCGTAGGAGAACTTTTGCTCTCATTTATGTAGGACTGTATATATGTATATATGCTATTTTTTTTTCTTTGTAAAAATCAAGCGGAAAGGGGTAGCCGTTGACAAGTAACGGTGACAAAAATCCTTCGCTTCTTTTCTATTTCAATTAAAAAAAAACCAGAGCTCACAGTTACTAACCACTTTCCAAAGTTCTAAAAATTTGGAAACTGAGAATTGGAAACCAGGAGGGGGCACACCTTAGAGGTACACGTACAGCGCTGCCGCGTGTGTTTGTTAAGAGCAGCGGGTTTTCGCTTTGCGGGGCGACACTATGACGCAGTTTCGGGACCTAGCCTGGTGTGTCAGGAGCATGGGTGACCTGGTAGTTAGGCTGACCACGTCAGGGGCCGAAACGGCCTCAAGGTGTCGCCCCGCACAGCAAAAACCCGCTGCTCGTTCAACAGACGCGGCAGCGCTGCACGTATACTTTCAGAGATAATAGAAACGAATGACAGCTAATGGTCCCGAGGCCCGCTGTCCTCGTTACGTGAGCTGATGCGACATAGCAAGTGGAACTCACAGGTCCTTACCTAACGTACATTTAATTTTGGTTTACGATAAATAAAATGATGCTTTGCCGGATCGTGCTAGGCTCAAAACATGTGATTAATTTATTTCTTAGACGTTTCGCAAGTGTGTGAATCTACCCGTGATAATATGTGCTCAAGGATTGATCGTGATACTTAGCCACAGTGATTGATTGCTTGATTAATTGCTTGCTTGATTGATAGGTGAGCATTAACGTCCCAAAACCACCATATGATAGTAAGAGACGCCGTAGTGGAGGGCTTTGGAAATTTCGACCACCTGGGGTTCCTTAACGTGCACCCAAATCTGAGCTCACGGGCCTACAGCGTTCCCGCCTCGATCGAAAATGCAGCCGCCGCAGCCGGGTTTTGATGCCACGACCTACGGGTTAGCAGCCAAGTAACTTAGCCACTGGACCACCGCGGCGGGGCTACTTAGTCACTTCAACACCCGTTAATTAATGGCACGAACGTAACCGGATACACGGACATCTAGGCGTCAAGAAATATGTGGGCTCATCTGACAAAACTCGTCTCGTCCCAGTTTTTAGGGGTAATGACAAATTCCCGTGCAACATGGCAACTATCAATGATTAAGGGAACAAGAGAATGGGAGCTACACAAATAAAGATTGTTTAGTTAAGCTTGAACATAGGAACCAAGTGAACGGGGTGCAACTGGGACCAATCACAATAAACGTAAAAAAAGAACGTCGACGCGAGTGAAATAATACACAAGGTGGCCGAAATAAGCACGTGTCCTTGCTGATTGGCTGACACCGTGGTCTGCATCCTCACAGAACAAGTAGCCGGAGCCTCTTAAGAGCAAGGGTGCATAGCCGAAGTCACCGCTGCATGATGCACGTTCCAAAGAAACAGGCAGCATTCATGCGTAAAAGGATTCGATGGTCGTGTGTAAAACCTGTTGGAAGCCAGCACGAAAGCACGCGCACGTGGCAATGTAATCGGGTCGATAAAGACAGCGACGAACGAGCTAACGGTGGAGCAGCGTGCGATGAGACTATGGCCTCGCGAAGGCGGAGCAGTCGTGCCCCGACCGGATACGTACTATGCCAAATAGGCCTGCTGCCGACGCAGAAACGTGCGTGAGAACTGGGTGACCGTGTTACGAGACAGTCTAGTTCTCTCCGGTGGAGACGTAACGACTTGCGGTGGCTGGCGGTCATCGTTTGTTGTTTTGTCGGTCGGCTCGCAGAATCCTGTTTACTGTCGCGACCCCGCTATAGCTGTCAAGCAAAAAAAAAAATAAAATAAAAGCCCACTCTCAGGAGTTCTAAAATAACGTAGCATTGGGGTCGCCAAAGAAATGTGTCGCTTGCAGATCTGAAAACTGAGCTAGTTTGTTTGCATTCCCCTTTTAGTTGGTGCAGAGCTCGCAAGACTTTCTTGGTCGTCGTCCTCGTATTATAATCGTTGCCCCAACCAAAAGACGCCTCTTCCAATCCATTTATTTCATCCATGACAACTTAGCAGGTTCGGTGTCGAGCTGCTGCTCCGAAGAGGCAGGTTCTATTCCCGGTGCCATCGGTAGCATTTCGAAAGGGCCCGAATAGAAGGAACACTCATGCACCTACATTGAAGTTCACGTTATAGGACTCCATGTGTTTAAAGTGAATCCGGAGTTTCACACGCTATACGGTGGACCTCGTAACGTTACCACGGTTTCTGTGTGTAAATGATCACCATTTACGTTACTACGGCAAACCTCGTCTGCTTGCTTGAAAGGTTGAACAACAAACAAAAAGACGCCACTTACAATGCAAGTGAGCAGAATGGCTTACAGCATATCGCTGTTGCCTCAAAGTCACAACTTGCATTTTCGTAACGTGTACCCTAAATACATTGCGGCAGACGTTGCAAAAAGCCAAAAAAAAATGTAGTAGTTAGGTAGTCAAAGAATGAGTAGAAAACGATGCTCAGATCACCTAATACAGTTAAAGAACACTTGATGGGTTGGAACATCTTGCGTTCTTTGGATCAAGCTTAACCCACCGCTTTGAGCAGGTCGGCCAAAACTTCTGATCCTGTCTCGATGCTGGAAGCTTTATAAACCAGCCGTTTCCCCAGAAGATAATCTTGCATGCATGATTTCCGAGTACGAAATCTCTTCATGAGTGAGCAATGCTACTTCTCGAACATAAAGTTCACTTTTAACAGCGCTTGCGTTGCACTCGCACTAATTCGTAAGCAGGAACGTAATTTTAAAACTCCAACGATTGATTTCACTATGCGTTGGAGATGTGTCTAAATAATCTGCGAGAAAACGTGACCTGCAATGCAGTGGAAATAAAACGCGATTACCGCTGTCAAGAGTTCCATTAGCAGATACAAGGCATGAGGGCCGGAAACCACCAGATATGATGGGGTTTATGAAAGCAGAAAGTATTCTTTCAACCATAACTCTTATTTGACTTATCGTTGAAAGATTAGGCCGTCAAACTAAGCTCTCTAAAAGCCAGTCTATAGAACTATAGAGTTCATGGCGTTAACTAATCAGCCGGCTAATACAAGTTTCGCGGTGCGATGCGCCTTCGCATCGTGCTACAACCCCTCATGCTCTTTTACACCACTAGATTTGATGTTCTTACCGTGATATTCGCCTTACAATTTTTAGAAGTCAGCACGATTAAAGAAACGACAATACCAAGGAAGAAAAGGATGTGTGTCGGGCGCTCAATGTGTATTTCGCGTTGCAAACTTTGCCGGATAACGATGATGTTGAAGATGATGATAATGACCTGCTGATTTACCCTTGTAACGGCCAAGTGTACTGATACCATAACAGAATTGTTCTGCCTGCAGGTGCTAGTTCTCAAACGCGGTACCAACTGCAGTGCATCACAAGTGGTAGTGACTCGCTCCGTATTAATTATCCAAACGGCATCAACTCACACATTTCCCCAAGTCCCACTCCAAGTTGATTGCAGCGCGAACGAGCATTATTTATTTAGAGCGGTAGCACTTCCTTCCGAAACATCCAGTCTCCCCTAATCTACGCAGTTGCGGCAGCATGCACTCTGGTACGCTCACCTGTACATTGGGGAAAGTTTGGCAGTGTCCTATTTACAGAGGTGGCGGTGGTTGCATGGTGTCGGGGTGAGTCCCTTGGCTTCAGTTGTTCTTGGCGGCGTACTTCTTCTCGCCCTGCTCGATGGCCTTGGTGACGCGGTCGAGCACGTCGGCGAGTCCGTCCAGGATGGCCGGGTTGATGGACGGCAGGCTGAAGGTCCTCTTTTGCCCCTCGCGGAAGAACAGGCTGACGCCCAGGAGCGGAAGCAGGAGGCCACCCAGACCGAGCATCAGCAGCATCGGCACCGCGTTGGTCAGCATCGACGGCAGCGAGGAGACCAGGCCGGACATCAGTCCGGAGAGGCCCTGCGTGAAGACCTGCGATTAACCAGAAAGCCCCGAAGCGATACCTCGGGTGTGAAAGGCCTATCGCACGTTTTGGAGGACCGCTCGATTTGAATTATGATTTATTTTGTATTCTAGAAGACGTCGAAGGAGAGTATACGCGGAACGTAATTATAATCTCGTACTAATATGGTGCTCATCTGCTTATATGTATGTCTTTCATTCTGCTCTGAATTAACTTGCAGACGATCACTTTGGCATCACTTTATGCCGTAAAGTTGAACTTAATACTTTTTTCAAAACTTGTATTTTTATCACTGGCAATACCTTACAGCATGCGCTTTTATATTACTGTATCAATGATGTGTTTTGCCTATCGTATTGTATTGTATATGTGCATGATTGTTGGCATCTGTGCATTTTATTCATGGGGCAGTAGAGTCACTTAACTGCTTCGGCCTATTTGTGATTTACACTACTTTGCCATGTTGATGCACGAGCATTTGTGGATGAATTTTCCCGTCTTAACTTTTCCCGATTGACTCTGGCGATGTTACAATTGATTACTTGCCTTCTAAGCGTACGGCTTAGAAGGATTGTCAGGTCCCGCTGATATTTTCTTTCTGATACGCTTCGAATATATTTTCTTAAAATTAAAATGCAATTCTTAATTAATTAATTATTTAATTAATAATCGATTGTTTGATTGGCACGGTGAAACTCCGCAGCAATGCATGACGAAGAACGGCGCGCGAGGAAGATTAAACGAGATATACACAAGAAGCGGAAACAGGAAACTTTTCAGCCAGTATCACATGTAAGCATGTACTGAATGTGAGCTAAAAGCTTCGATAATAGCAGACCTTGAGAACGTGACGTTTCATAATCATATTGCGGTTTCGACACATTGAAGCTGAGCGATTTCATTGAATCGAAGCGCAAACAAGAATCGCTCAGTAGAACTTAGAAGTTAAAGTTTACAGAGTGTACACCTTTTAAGCTATCATCAACCAATCCATATTCTGCTTACACCAAGTTTTTACGTTATGCCTAATGTCCTTATTACACTTCTCATTCTTCTAAGCTATCATTAGCCGATCAATATTCTCGTTACACCAACTTAGTGGTTACGCTATGCCTCTGTCCTTATTACACTGCTCATTATTTGGTTACTAACGCTTGCTAGTTTTATTTTGGAGTTGCTCAACAATAACATTTCCTGTCAGTCTCACTCTGTCACTTCACTGCGTGCATGCCCATGGTTTCTTTTCAATATGGTGTGATGGCTCATCGCAGCACTCCGTCTTCCCTATGAATTCAATGTATGGGGCAAACTTTGCGGCCCCTTCTCTCTTAGGTGACTAGTAGGGGCAGCACACCATCCCCTGCCCCTCCCCTCATGCGCAGGCCAATGTATACAGCTGTCTATCTATAGTCCTCTTTGAAAATCTACTCAATAAAGTTCAATTTCAAAAACATTTAAAGAAAGATGCTGCAATAGCTAGGTGTCAACTGTGATAAATCGCCAGTTTTTAGATATGCTGTGCACGATCTGAAGGTCTTAACGAGGGATGCACAGGCAAAAGAAAAAAAAAAGACAGTTTCACTGCAAGAAGGAAACAATGCGACAGCAATAAATTGGAATGTCATACGAAGCAAGAATGGTGTACGTATAATCTATGCATGCTAGCGGCTCTTTTCTTTGGATTTCACCTCGAGTAACTTCACAAAGCTCCGGCACGTGGGAATACGGCCTCTCCAGGGCACAAAGTGGTCTTCGTGCAGTTGGTCACTTTGACGCGAATTAGTGAGTGGTGAGAGCGGGTGCAAGAGTATACAGGAACCGTCTCTAATGTATGCCGAGACAGCACGCATGACCGCATCCCTTTGGTCGATTCGAAGCTTTGCTCCCCTTCACTATTCTTCTAGCTGGACGATCTAGCCAGACGCTCGGCTTGAGCCGCGCTCGTGGGAAGCCTTCGCAAGCTCTTGATCGCACATAGAACACACCAAGCGCAGAACGATGTTACTAATGTGTACTTTATATGGAACATGACCGTGACGGCAGAAATTCGCCTTTTGCGTCTAAAATAGTTGCTACTTCAATACAGAAAACATAACAGCTAAGATTCCCTTCTCCTGTTTTGAAGAAATTAGTGGCCACTGCTGTTCTCGACGATGTGAGCAAGAAAACGATTAAGACGGTTGCTATGTTTTCCCCAATCTTGAACAAAACAACGCCAGCGAGGGCGAGTCCCAAGATTGGCACTCGCCTGCGTGATGGTGGATGCGATGCCTCCGGCGGCCGCTGCTCCGACGCCCGAGCTTTGCCGGTTGATGTTTGTCTGGTAGAGGGCGGCATCGGGGTAGACGGCCTGCGCCGCGATGATCAGCGTAGCGGCCAGCACGAGGGCCACTAACGCGGACGCCTGCTGCAACCTCATGGCTTTTTCACCCGTTGGCTTTGGCGGCCGCCGCTCGATACGCTATAACTGCGGGATCCGGTCGGCGATGGCAACCGCTGCGTGCAATCGGACAAAGAAAATTAAGGAGTTTCTAGAATGTTATCTCCCGAACACTCCGAAAGTTCGCTAACACTACTCTTTTTTTTTTTTCGCACTTGGCTTCTCCTCCTCGGCTTTATGTCAGGGTAAGAGAGTACAAAGTACACTCAAATATGCGTTAAGGTAGGTATAGTTGATGTCTTGCAGAAAAGACGACTTGTCTAAACGTTGGCTGCAGTGACACCTCGTGTTCAAAAATATTCGACTTTTGTTTCAACGAGACAAAAAAAAAAAAAGACCAGCAGTTCAGTGCTGTGGTGGTACACATGATCTACAAAGGTATGCAGACTCTACAAAAGCTAAAATACAGAAAGAAACAAGTAGAGTGGTTGCTGTTTCTGCAAACGTAGCCCAAACTTGCTCACCCAGGACGGAGCAGCAAGGAGCCAAGACCAATAAGGGCGCACCGTTTCTCTCTCCTGCACCACCCTCTACTACAAAGATTCAGCCTCTTGTCTCTCTAAACGCAACTAAAATTAAACGTTCTTGCGACTGTTCAGAGTATTTCGTTTATATACGTATATGCTTAACTGTGGGCCCTGAGCTGAGAGTCTTAACTGCACTTCGGCTTGTGTCTGTCCATTTGCCAACGGACGGCTCACGGCTGCAGAAGCAAAAAAAACAAAAACAAAATACATTGCGGGTAATAATCCAGCTGTGGTTTTGAGGAGATCGAAACAAGTTGAAGTACAATTTTATCGCCGTGTAGGCGACGGTAACTGTATCCCTTTGTGCGGGCTACCCCAATTGTTTAACTCCATCGTTGGCGCGTCAACCTAACACTGTATGAGCGCCTTAAGACAACATACAAATGACATCTGCGGAAAAGCAGGTACAGATCAAGCAGCAAACGTGTTTCCCATTCACAAGCAAACTCAAAAAAAGCTTGACGATGGGAAACAATGTATTCAAAAAATTAATAATAAAAAACACGTGTGCTGTTGATATTGGCAAGAAGCTATTACTCTAAGCCCGGAAGCGTATACCAATGAGCCTCGATAGCCTTTTCACGGGCTGTCTAAACCTGGCAGTCATATTTCTGCGCAACGGAACGCATCGATGGATGCGCGATTGTGGATTCATTCATGCATACGTGAGAATTCTTGCGTCGGGGTGGCCCCGCCGCGGTGGTCTAGTGGCTAAGGTACTCGGCTGCTGACCCGCAGGACGCGGGTTGGAATCCCGGCTGCGGCGGCTGCATTTCCGATGGAGGCGAAAATGTTGTAAGCCCGTGTGCTCCGATTTGGGTGCACGTTGAAGGACCCTAGGTGGTCGAAATTTCCGCAGCCCTCCACTACGGCGTCTCTCATATTCATATGGTGGTTTTGGGACGTTGAACCCCACATATCATCATCTTTCGTCGGGGCATGTGTACATATCATCTCTCTACGGTCACTTGCATTTGTCAAAGCTTTACAATTCTTTCGAACACCTAACTCATGACGTTATCTTCACTCTACAGCTAATTACTTGAGAGTGACTATGTGTATTCAAGTGATATTGTACATGTTTACCTGAAACCGTACAGTTTCTGCGAAAGACTTGGTATCCGTGATTCCCGTCGTGTGAAACACCAAGCAAGCCATTTGTTTTTATTTCGTTTGGGATAGAGCACGCGTTCCATTCTCTTCCAAAATCAACTATACCAAGAGAAAAAAAACTCAAATTAGAAAATATTGACAGATTACACAGATTAACGTGTCATTTTTTATCTTGACGAATGTCCCTATGACAGCTTCGTTTGAAGACGAGTAGGAGCAGGTATCTCCTTTTTTTTATAAATGGGCCCCACGTTGAAACCCCCTTGTACCTGCGTCAGTCATTTTCGATTCTTTACACAAGGAACACTAACAAGTGACTTAACCGGCAGGTTTCACTCAAGTTTTCAACGTTACTCACCTATATTAAGGACCCCAAAGACAATTTTCCTGCCTGTTTTCCAGTTAACAAATACAGTTATTGAAACTATTGGGGAAGGAAGGAAGGACAAGAACAACAAGAGAGAAGGCAGGGAGGTTAACCAGACACATGTCCGGTTTGCTACCCTACGCTGGGGGAATTAGAAAGTAAATATGAAAAACAGACAAAAAATTGGCAGTCAATGGGCTTACGCGCATGCAGCGGTGGCACTACACTAAAGTTAAAGAAG